TCCTCGCGCCCGACCGCGCTCCTACACACTCTCTCTCTCTCTCTCTCTCTCTCTCTCTCTCTCGTAAAGAAATTCTCTCGTGTTCTCGTGCGCTTTGATTGTTGGAAACGCGTCTGGTCCGTTCCCAAAACGTTGAAAAGACTTTCGACGACGTTACTCGTCGAATTTTAATTAAAATTAAAATAGAAATCGCACGGATAGTAACGGTTAGTAACGTTATCTCAGTTGAGATTGTTAAATAATTGCTTTCTTGGACATAGCGTTCCGTTGTTGCACTCGAAGACGAAGGAGAATTGGCCATCGTCGATTGATAAAGTTTCCATCGCGTCGATGAAATCTTTCATCGAATCGCGAAATCGGTGGAAAAAGGTCGTCGAAATCCTTGGCAATTATCGATCGATTCGACGTCGATCTCTTCATTATTCGAATTGTTTTTTTTTTTCTTTTTTTTTTAGAAAACGATCTAAACTCTCGAGATAATTTTCACTCTCGTTCACCCCTTGTTATTGTTGTTGTATTTTGTCGAAAGAAGACGTCTCCGCCGAATTAATGCCGGGATTATCCTATCCCCGCTTAACGCTCGTTTCGCACGAAACAATCGCGCTCGGTTAAATTACACGGGAGAGGGGGCAAAGTGAGGGGACAAAATTTAAATCCCAGAGAGCGATGATATTCTTTCCTTCCCTCTCCTCTTTTCCCTCCGATCTTTGGATTACCTCGAGCAACAGCGACAACCAGGGTCGCGCTAATTAAAATCTCATTTCGCTTGGAAACGTTCAACCGCATCCAATCTCGTCCAAACTCTGGTCGAAGGAAAAGGAAGAAGAAATAGAGGAAGAGAAAAAGAGTATTCGTACAGCAATTTCCAGCGAGAAAGTTTTCATCTGCAATTTTATCAAAGGGGGGAAAAAACATTTTCTTCTTTTTTCACATCTTCTGTTCCCTGTGAGGGGGGGGGGGGATAAAAAAAGCGCGGATTGCAATTACACGGATTCGGCATCGCGTCAGGATCTCGATACGATATAAAGCGCGATTACACGGAGGCGCATAAGTTCTCGCTACCAAGAAAGATATTACTTTCCATTTCCACTTTCTATTCTGCTCTTTGAACTCTTTCCTTCCGGCCAGATACGCGTATCTCTGGTTACATTTTCCACGTAGTTGAAAAGTTCGCAACGCCTTTTCTCGATCGATTCGAATTTTTCCACCTGCCTTCTTTGCCCTCCTTATCGTACACCAACGTCGACCCCGAAAATTGCCCGAAAACGCGATCTTTCTTCGAGATCGTTCTTCGTTCGAGAATCGATTCGAATCGATTTTTTTTTGGTTTTTTTTTTTTTTCATTTCTTCGCTTTTGAATTTACTTCACGATTCACGTAAAGAAAAAGGAAAAGAGATTCGAAAGAAGATTGGAAAGGTAATTTTTCGAGTCGATACAGGAATTCCTTCGTAGCTCTGAAATCGATCGCAAAGAATAACCCGATCGCAAGAAGGTTGAAATATTCCCTCGTTCCGTATCGAAATCGTTACAGGTTTTTCGTTCCTCGATTCGTTCAGTTCCCGTTGTCGTCGGGATCTAAATTTCAAATAGAAATCTTATTTCGCTACCGAAAACTTTTCCCCATCTTTTTTCTTTTACACAGAAGCGTGGAATCGTATTCCTTTGAATTTTTCTCCCTCTTTCTCATCACTGGAATTATCCCGCGAATCCGAGCTTATCTTTTAATTCCATTTCTCCATTTTTTTAAATACAAAGGAAAAAAGAAACGCGCGCACAGTCAAGCGCTATCTCGAAACGGAATCACGTAGAACGAACAAATTTTCCCTTTTATAATTTAATAACCAACGCGAAACACGTTCTCAATTTTAAAACGTATATAATTTACCATTGGCCGCGTATAATATCCACTCGTGTATCCACATTTAATCAAAATTATCACAAAGTTGAACGTTAAACAACTCTCTCGCGCACTCTCTTTAAATTTTAATCCAAAGGCCAAACGAAATATCCGCTTGATCA